GGGAAAAATAAATGTTGGGGACCTTTAACTAGTGAACTGAATGGAGATAATTATAGGAAGGAGGGTAAATAGCAGTAAGGATGTCTAAAAGTCATTATGAATTATACTATCAACTATCCACCTAAAAATACATATAAAACCTGTAAGTCTGTACAAACATACACATACATGGTTTAAATGAAATTTTCTCATCTGGATTGACAATGCTCTCCTGCAAGAGCTACAAACTATCTAATAAAAACCTTAAGACCACATGAAAAACCCTCTTTTGATGGTTGGCTAGGGCTGTCCAAGAGAAACCTAACACATCTCAGGCTATTGCTGTTGCCCTTGGTTGCCCCTAGAGGTTGAAGTTAAGTCCCTATTGCTGAAGATGCCAGGCACCTTAGACACAGAGCCTAGAAGCCAGAGTTGGAATTGATATGAAAGCCTCCTTCCTGAGGACTTGCCTTCGTAGGGTACTAGAAGGCACCATGCAAATTTCCAAAGGAGGGAAGCAACCAAAAGTTCTACCTGGCTATGATAACACTTTTGAACTACAAGAACCAGCAAGGTATGGTATTTTTAAGGGTACAAAAAATGACATGCATATTTAGTGATAAGCAAGAGCTCTCTAATTGGACTTATGGCTTACTGGAGAAAAATCATGCCTGGTACTGGAAACCTAGCCAACTACCAATCAAAATGCAAAGTTTTGGAGCCCAGTCACAATGGGGTACCTAGGTTCAGGAGTCTTGGTAGAGGAGGGACAGAAAGACTGTAACAGCCAGAGGATCAGGAAGTTTGTTATGAGATTTTATTTCCTAGCAATATCAGAAACTACAGCCATAAAGTCTTACCAGCCTAAAAACATGAGCTGAACAAGGACAACAACAACAGACATGGCAAAGTGGACAGGAGAAAAATTCATGAGGCTTCAACCCTAGACAAAGGTCCATAGGCAACTACAGAATGTAGAGAATAGATAAAATTGTCCTCACTTGAGACAAACATTCCTAAAACCAATGGTCAACCCTGAAAATGTATATATACATGTAACATCATATGGACTGAGCAGGTTGCATTTATCTGTTTAGGAGCACACATACGTACTGTGATGGTTTGAATGAGAATAACCCCCATAGGATCATATATGACTGGATAAGAAGTTTGTATGGAATATACCATGACACCAATAACCAGTTGTACAATATAAAGTAGATGCTCAAGGCTGGCAGTGAATAAACAGGCTGTGTAGAAGCCTGGACTGTATAGGTTTGCTGTGCTAAGAAATCAGTTTGTTCCTGAGGTTTTAACACACAAGGCAGTTGCTCGGGAGCCTTCAGTGGGAAAAGTGGTGTTTCTGTAGATGGTTCTGAATAAATGTTTTGAACAGAGTTAAGATGGCCATTCCCAGGACTAAATCATACTTTCAGACACCCTTTGGCTGCTGATGATATGAAAAAGCTTCAGAACCTTGCAAAATACAATCTTGGTGAAGATTCTCTTGTGGTGCTTCCATATTTGATTGTGAAAATCAAGGCTGCTGCTGAATAGAGGCTTGGAAAAAAGAATCCTTTAAATGCATCTGGCATTGTGGCGGTGAAAAACCTGGAGTTATACATTCCTGATGTATATGTACCACTGGATATGGTTGTGATACTGACTACATCTTTTCTAAATGCCTCCCAATGGAATTAGAAGGGAAACAAGTTTTGTCAGCAGCGTTCTGTGTGCTGCTCACATTAGAATGATTTAACAAAGTTTGCAGATGATTAAGTGGGAAGAAATAAGAAGTCTTATTGGCAAATAGTACTTTGTCTAAAGCCTTATTCCCATTTCTAGGGCCAAACTCAAGTTGAAGATCAACTGCTGGGTGTTGCAAAGTCATCTGTGAAGCAGGCAATGTCTGAGAAGTTAACTGTAGAAAGGGTTGGTTGCAAAATTCCAATAACTAACAGGTCTAAACTCATGGGGTGGCTGAAGTTGGTCCATCTCCTCTAAGAACCAGCTGTAGTTCCTGGTGCTAGGGTAAGAAAAATTCAAATTATAAATGCATATGCCTTGCCCATTTTATTGGGACTATTCCAAACAAACTCAAGAAATGCTATATGATAAAATTTTCACCAAGTAATCTAAAAAGTTGTAGGTACTAGCATTAGGCATTCATTCTACAAAACTCTTAACACTGAGTAAATGCTAGATGAATGAATGAAAGATCTAGAACAGTCCTAGCAATAGCTCATGGCTTCTCATTTATTGCACTTATCACATAAATCATTTAAACCCTGGTAAAGACAAAGAGTAACTGTATCTGACACTTTCACATAATCTGTGCACATGCTCCAAGAGAAAAATAAAAGGGTTTTTAATATCATAACTAATATGAACATAAGTACTCTCTCAAAAATACAGGAGAAAGTTGACAGAAATAAATATAGGTTGATGGTAATCATTCCCAGAGTTTGACTACTTGTTTATAAAAGACCCAAACTGTTGCTGTGATGGTTTGAATGGGAGTAGACCCTACTGGCTCACATATCTGAATGTTTGGTGCCCAGTTGGTAGACTTTTTAGAAAATTAAGAGGTGTGGTATTGCTGGGGAAGGTGTCACTGGGATTGGGCACTGGGGTTTTATAAGCCCATACCAGGTCTACTCTGTCTGTCTGTGTCTCTTTCTCTCTGCCTCTCTATCTCAGCTACTACTCTAGCACTATGCCTGCCTACTGCCACACTCCTCACTATGATAATAACGGACTAATCCTCTGAAACTGTATGTAAGCAAGCCCTAATTAAATACTTTCTTTTAAAAGTTGCCTTAGCCATGATGTCTCTTCACAGAAACAGAACAGTAACTAAGACAGTTGCTTTTATGTAATGAATAAAATATACAGGCTACAAAATAAGCGTGAAATATAAATTAGTGCCTATTATTCTTTTTTATATTTATTTATGTGTATACATCAGTATACACATGGAGTCTCCTGGAGTTGGAGATACAGGCAGTTATGAGCTACCTATATGGGTACTAGGAGCCAAATTCAGGTCTCTTTTCTAGAAGAACAAGACATACTCTAACTCTGAGCCATCTGTCCAGCCCCTGTATCTGTAATTTAAATTATGAATGTGTGTGTGTGTGTGTGTGTGTGTGTGTGTGTGTGTATATATATATATATATATATATAATTTTATATATATTTATATTTATTATATATATATATATAATGACAATTCTAAAGGCTATAGTCTCAAACATAAACAGTTATCTCTAGATGGAAGGATAACAGGCTAATGGGTGATATTAATTTCTTTATTATTTTACAAACAGGGTCTTGCAATATAATGCCAGGCTGGCCTAGAATTTGCTATGCAGCCCAGGCTCGACCTGAACATGTGATCCTGCTCAATCTTCCAAGTGCTGAGATTCTAAGCATGTGCTATTACATTCAGCTAGAGTATTAATTTTAAATATGCAAATAAAAATCTCCAAAACTTTAAAAATATTAATACATTTTAAACACATAACTATACTTGTGCATTTGAACCTAGGTTAAAGTTAATTATGCTCAGCATACAGAATAGGCTTAAAAAAAATGAATTAAACCACAATGTGAGCTCAATTGTAGATGTATATAATATCACTTACAAATACTAAACAAATGCTCAACTGTATCTAAAGAACAAGATTACCCCCAGCATATTTTAAATTCTTCTGTCATTTTCAAGTGTACATCTGCTTTCTTTTACAATATTATGAACTCTTTGAGGCTAAGAATTATATCTTATCTTACTGTATTTTCTCAGAAGATAGTATTAGTAGTCATTAAAAGTTTATTGATAAACTGGAACCAACTATAGGCCAACCTCTAAAAAGAAACAAATGCACCACATGCTAACTAGAGAATACCGAAGACTTCAGAGAATCTTACTCCCAGAGAGGAAGTGCACATACATGCATGGAGTGGAGTGGAGTAAAGAAAATAAATAATGACAGACAAAAGTCCTACTATGTCCAGAGTCCATGACACAGGCAACCAGACTACAGTACGGATACATGAATTCACACAAAGATAGCTTACTCACTGTTAGAAATAAATAATATTGCTTTTGTACATTTGAAAGTTAAAATTTCTCCTATAGAAAATAAAGACAATCTTAAAAACGAAGCAAGAATTTAGATGAATGTATTAAAAATTAGGAAAGTCTATGAAATACTATTTTTAATTAATTGCAACAGATATCTCTCCATCATCTAGCTAACCTAGAAAGATTCAATACAAAGAAAAGACTGGTTTGCCAAGAAAAAGAAACAAGAGTCCTGAATAAACCTTTGGGTGCAGTTAGTTTCTATTCTTGTCAATTATAGATGTAGTAATCCTAGAGTCTACTTGCACAATATTAGATGTATCCTCAGAAAAAAATATGTTGGGTATGAGGAAGCATGAATAACTTTGAACTTTGAGTGGCCTTTACCTAAATCTATGGCTAACTGATAAAAGAGAATTGTTACTTGTCAGAAAAACATAGACAATGGGAAATATGTTTAAATTAATAACAGCCTCTACAGTATGTGCCTTATGGAGGTCGGAGAGATGGCTCAGTGGTTAGGAGCAATAGGTGCTCTTCCAGAAGACCTGAGTACAATTCCTAGCATGCACACAGCAGCTCACAACCAACTTTAAGTCCAGATGCAGGAGATCTGACACCACCTCATCTATAGGTACCAGGAATGTAGCACGTAGACACACATATAGGCAAAACACTCATACAAATAAAATTAAATTAAAATGTAAATCTTAAATTAAAAATACTTTTAAAAATGTGTCTCATTTGCTGGGCAGTGGTAGCACATACCTTTAATCCTAGCACTTGGGAGACAGAGGCAGGGCAGTCTCTGAGTTCAGGGCCAGCCTGGCCTGCAGAGTGAATCCCAGGACAGCTAAAACTGCACACCCTGTCTCAGAAAACAAAAAACAAAACAAAACAAAACAAAAAAAAAAAAAGAAGAAATGTGTCTTACCTTTATCTGTGAGACCTTCTGGATAGTTAATGGAGAAATTTGGGACTGTGAAACAACTGCAAGTCCAGTGGCATATATGGGCATAACAGAGGACTGACCTTGAACCACAGGCAAAACTGGGGACTGAGTCAGCTTTGGCTGCTCGTGCAACTGGTAAATAGAGGAAAATAAATAAACTCTCCAATTTATAGAGTAATATACATAGGCAAGCATATATATATATATATATATATACACATATATTTATATATACATAAACACATATATACATAAATATATATTTATATATAAAAATCAGTATAAGTATATACAATATTTACTGTTGTATATACTGTATATATATATAGTTGTAACAGTTGTATATACACTGATACATAAAAATATAGTAGTGATTCCCTCACTCCTGAAATTTGTTGGCAATGTCCTACCAATTGGTGAGAAGAATGTATTTGTCCTGGAACACTTATGTCAGCTTGTAGGATACTATAAATTACCTGAGAGCTCGTTGTCTGGTTTGAAGAAGAGGCTACAGTGGGATGACTTGAAATATCTGAATGTAGAACCGATCCAGCTGCTGCCTCGGATGAAGTGTCACCTTTAATAAAGAAAATGAGCAAAGGGTAGAAGGGAAAACATGAAGCACAATGTTCAAATTATATAAATAACAGTTAAACATTTCTTTAAATTTTTTCTATTATGACATAGAGTTTCAAATAAAATATTCATACTTAATAATTAATACTTTTCAAAAGAACGAATACCAACACTGAAGAGATAAAGCTAAAAGATCAAAAGTTAGAGGCCAACCTGGGTTATAAGCGAGTTCAAGGACTGGGCGGGCTACATAGAAAGGCCTGTCTCAAAACCCAAGAGCCAAAAGGTGAAACTGAACGTTGACATTGTGATGTAAGCAACAGTTTCTTTTTCTTAGAATGTCAAGGATCAAACACAGGCCTCAGACCTGATAAGTTCACACTCTGTTACTATGTTTCCATCCTTAAAATGATCTCTTTTTCTTGTTTTGTTTCTTTTGTTTTCTGAGAGTAGCCTCAAACTGGGGGAGAGGGAGAGGGAAAAGGAAAAAAAGAGGAGAGGGAGAAGGAACGAAGGAAAGGGAAGAAGGAAGGGAGGGAGAGAGAGAAAAAAAAATGCTCAAATGTGGGTGCACAGTTGACAGGTGTACAACGCTGGATATCGGTCCTTAGGCACCACTTGCCTTTTTTTTTTTTTCCTTTTTGGAAATCTATGTCCTTGTGCAAGGCAATTACTGAGTTACCTCTCCAGGGCATCAAATTCCTGACCCTCCTGCCTCAGCCTTCAAGAGCGCTGAGATTATAGGCAGATGTTACCCTGCACACCTTCCAGAGTCTCAATTTTTTCTTTATAAAGCAAAAGTAAAATAAAACATAAGCCCAGACATGGTGGCACATGCCTTTAACCCCAGCACTTGGGAGGCAGAGACAGGTAGATCTCTGTAAGTTCAAGGTCAGCCTGGTCTATACAGTGGGTTTCAGGAAAGCCAGAGCTACATAATTGAGACCCTTTGTTGAAAAAAAATCACATAAAAGTAATTCCAGGATCTGAAGATGTAGTTTCATGGTAGATTACAATGCACAAGGCCTTGGTACTACCCCAATCATGGTGAGAGAGAGAACAAGAGGGAAGGTGGTAGGAAAAAGAGAGTAGAAGGAAAAAGGGAAGGCAAGGAAGGAAAATGGAATAAAGGAAGAAGGTGCAGCTAGGCACAGTGGCATATACCCTAATCCCAGTACATAGAAGGCACAGGCAAGAGGATCGTGAGTTTGAGGGTACAGTCTGAGCTATAAAGCAATATCATCTCCAAAACAAAAAGAATGAGGAGGGAAAAAGATCAACTAACTTCATTTGCCAGTCATTTCATGTGTATCCTAACAAGTGTATACTTATTGCTATGACTTATGTAAAATATAAGTCTCATGTTCCATAATTCCTAGAAAATGGGTTGGAAAACTTATTTCCTTTGTAGAACAATTGGCTATAGCTTTGCAAATGCTGTGTGTTTCTATTTTATTTATTTATATTTTATTTGTTTCATTAATTTGTGGTTGCTATTGTTTTGACAGTCTCCTTATGTAGTACTAGGTGACCTGGGACTCACTATCTACCTATATCTATCTATCTATCTATCTATCTATCTATCTATCTATCTATCTATCTACCTACCTACCTACCTACCTATCTATATACAGGCTGGTCTCTAAACCACAGAGATTTGCTTGCCTTTGCCTCCAGGGTGCTAAGATTTAAGGCCTGCAGCACTACACCTTCCTTCTGTGTGTGTGTGTTTTAATTAAGTTTTTATTTTTTATATTAATTACAGTTTATTTACTTTGTATCCCAGCTTAGGCTCCTCTCTCTTTCCCTCCCAATCCCACCCTGTGTGTTTTTTTTTAAAGACAATGTAGTATAGCAAACAAAAAACAAACAACACAAAAACAAAACCCAAAAACCCTAGAGGACTTATATTTTCATTCCAGTCTAAAACACCAAGGCCCTTAACATCTAGAAAACTCCTTCTTAAAAGAAATAAACTGTATCTTTAGTTCTAAATTTTCTTCATGGGCTTATGCTAGACTATTATAAATAATATTAATATCATTTCTCTGAACTGCAGTAGTTGCTATACTATAATCTTTCTGCAACTATAATATTGGGCAAGTCACTTAAGCAATTCCTTAAATTTATTTTGAAATGACTATCATGTATTCCACACTGGCCTTAAACTAGCTGAGGATGACCATGAACTTCCAATTCTCCTGCCTCCAATTTCCAAATGATGGAATTATAGCTAAGTACAACCAAGCCCAGTTTATATGATAGAGGGGATTCAAGCCTAGGATAGTAATCTCAACTGGAACAAATTCCTAACCCAATTTTCTTGATTTTAATATAAGGAAACTGTCTGGTCTATTTCAAAATTTTTATTTTTGTTTTGTTTTGTTTTTTGAGACAGGGTTCCTCTGTGTAACTTGGCTGTCCTGGAACTCACTCTGTAGACCAGGCTGGTCTCAAACTCAGATCCGCCTGCCTCTGCCTCTCAAGTGCTGAGATTAAAGGTGTATGTCACCATCACCCAGCTCTATTTCAAAAAATTTTAAAGGCTTAATAAAATTATAGATAATTGAAAACTCTGAAAAGTACCCATATGCTATATAAAGACAAGAAAACTATACATATTCTATTTAAAGACATTACTGTCTTTACAGTAGTTGTCTTACCTCTAACAGAGGAGAGCTGCTGCTGTGGTTTTCCTTGTAGAAGCTGCTGTCGAACATGTTGATCAACTTCTGTTTCTTCACATTCAGCTGCAGTGTGTGGACCAGGAGCAGGTGGTAAAGTCGCAGTTGGCTGCTGAGGAAATACAATCCCCACATGCTTGCACTGGGATTCCCTGCGATCCTCCAAGAGTCCAGCAGGCTTCTTTTCCCTTATCTTTTTTATCAGTGTCACACGGTCCCTAATGGATTTAGCAACAGCTTTGGAATCACTTTCATGGAAGAATCCAGACTTGACCTGCAAAGAAAACATAATACACTCCTTCTTTAAAAATTTAGCTTTCTTTACTTAAATATGTTGTACACCAAACCTAAATTCTATTAAATAACTTATAATTAATAGTTGGTCTCTGTGTGCTTTTTAAATTGGACATGTAAACATGTGAGAGCCTTTCACTAATAACACTTCAATGTCTGAGGCAAGAGGACCTTGTAATGTCAGTTACAAAGCTTGTTTCAAAAATCAGTAACAGCATGCCTAGTACTGACACTCGAGAACTGCAGATATCTGAAGTGGTCTTCTGTCTTATATGAGCACATTATCTGATGCTGTAAGATGGAATAAGTTCAACTTAAAATGAAGCAGAAATGACCTGCTTGGAAAAAAAAAACTTAAAAAAAATATGTCTAGAGGAAAGAGAGAAGTGCCAAAGGGGAAGGAAAATTTGGAATTGAATTAACATCCCTGAAATAGGAAGACTGTCTACTGAAATACAGATGAAGTTTGGAACAGAAATCAGCATGCTAAGCAAAGGAGTGTAAGCTCACAACAGGGCACTTGGTACATCTAACTGGGCATTAAGGCAGTGAGAGATCAGGACAGAGCTCTCTCTATTCTGTCTTTAAGAAACAAGGATGAGAGGGCGGGGCAAGATGGCAGCGCGGGGAGGACTCTCATTCTGAGGAGCAGCACAGCAGGATTGGCACAGTGACCAGCAATCAGAACTCGCGGCCATAAAACACAAGTGGTTGTGTTTCTCAGGTGAGAGGATACCCCACGGTGGGGGATTCGATCAGCTTTAACTCACCCGGCTAAACCGCGGAAGAGATCCCCGTTCCGCCAGGCGCTTGGTCGCCAGCCCAGAGCTACCCGCCAGCGCGATCTGGTCACGGTCCCAGACTGAACTGTGGGCCCACAACACCATAGACTGGATCTCCCAGTCGAGAGATAACCCCACGGAGCAGGAAACAATTGGGACCGACCCCAGGTTACCCAGACATCCCCTGGAAAAGACTCGGGTTCCGCGGGTGCCCCAGGAGCCAGCCCGGACCCAGAGCCGGGAGGGACAAAGGCGCCTGCCTGCACAGCGCCCTGCCTGCGCGCCTGATTCGCCGCCTCAGATAGAACTGTGGGCACCAGGGCACCAGGGCACCAGACTGCGTGTCTCTGGCAGGAGGAAACCCCCAGTGGAGGGGGTCAGCAGCTCTAACGCTTAGGACACCCAGCACCAAAACACTTCCTGGACTCACGCAGACTCTAGTGCAGGCAGAAGCGCTGTGCTCTGCCGCCATTGTTGCGTTCCCCTGGGGCACTGGGACACACAGCTGCATCCTTGGACCTGCAGGAATCGAAGAGCCATTACAGCAGCCCTCAGATACTGTGCCAGGGATCGGCCAGTTGTCCCTGGCTGGACTGCCAAAACTGTAGGAATCCCTGATCCTTCAGGGGGGCTGCACCCACAGCATCTGGACCAGAGTGGTGCCTACAGCCGCCATCCCAGACAGAGACACACAGCTTCTGGTCCAGAGTGAGGCACCCAGCCTCCAGACCAGAACAGTGCCCCCAGGTGCCAAATCAACCTAGGTGCACATTCTCCAGGTCCAGAGCAGAGCAATCAGCCTTTGGCCCAGAGACTTGCTGAGTGCACCTCCCACTTTCTCAGACAGAACTGTGCGCCCCAGGATAACAGACTGAGTTTCCCTGTTGGGAGAAAACCCCATACCTAGGGAATCAGCAGTTTCTTCAAGAGGACTGTACATGGAAATTTAGTGAGCAGCAGCACACTAAATTTATAACAAGAAACCCAGCAGTGGGGCAGCTGTCTTGAGAAATTTTATGGGTAAGAGGAGATCCCCCCCTGCCTAACATAGACCACAGCTACTACTCAGGGCTATAAACCTGAGGTGAGCAGTGGCATCTCCGGAGAAACACTGGCCATACAGTGACCATAACCAAAAAGCAGAGAAGGACTCCTTCAGGAAAAATCATCTTCCGGCCAAGGGGATACTCCCTACCTCAGGACTCCAGGAAGCACAGAAACTAACAGCCAAAACCTAAATCAGCCCAATGGGTAGAGGTCAGCGTAAAGGCTCAACCAACAAAAGACAGAGCAATATGGCATCTCCAGAACCCAGCCATCCAGGGGCGAACAGCCCTGAACAATGCAGCATAATAGAAAATCAAGAAGAGGACCTTACATCTATGTTGATGAAGAAGATAATAGAGGAGACAAATAAAATACGTAAAGAATTAGAGGAAGATAAAACCAAACAGATCATGGCTATCCGTAAAGAAATGGAGGAAGATAAAGACAAGCAAATTAGGGCCATCCGTGAAGAAATACGGGAAGATGCAGCCAAACAGCTTGTGGCCTTCAGAGAAGAAATAATTAAATCACTGAAAGAAATCAAAGAAACAGAGTTGAAGGAACTAAAAGAAAAAGAGGAAAATACAAGCAGACAGGTGAAGGAAGTAAACAAAACAACTCAAGACCTGAAGATAGAACTAGAAAAATTAAAGAAAACACAAATGGAGGAAATAATGGAGAGGAAGAATTTAGGGAAGAAAACAGGAACTACAGAGGTAAGCATAACCAACAGAATACAAGAAATGGAAGAAAGAATCTCAGGTGTAGAAGATACAATGGAAGAAATCGATGTATCTGTCAAAGAAAATGTGAAATCCAAAAAATTCCTGACACAGACCGTCCAAGAAATCCAAGACAATATGAAAAGACAAAATCTGAGAATAATAGGAATAGAGGAAAAAGAAGACTCCCTTCTCCAAGGCCCAGAAAATATTTTCAACAAAATCATTGAAGAAAATTTCCCCAAGTTAAAGGAGAAGCCAATAAGGATAAATGAGGCCTACAGAACACCCAACAAATTTGACCAGAAAAGAAAATCCTCCCGCCACATAATAATCAAAACAGGAAGTATACAGAACAAAGAAAAAATACTAAAAGCTGCAAGGGAAAAAGGCCAAGTAACATATAATGGCAAACCCATTAGAATCACACCTGACTTTTCAACAGAAACTATGAAAGCCAGAAGGGCCTGGACAGATATCATGCAGACCCTAAGAGAACACAGATGTCAACCCAGGCTACTATACCCTGCAAAACTCTCAGTCCTCATAGACGGAGAAAACAAGATATTCAATGACAAAAACAAATTTCAACAATACCTACACACAAATCCAGCATTACAGAAGACACTGGAAGGGAAAATACAACCCAAGAAAATTAGCTTCTGTCAAGAAAACACAGGAAATAATTAACCTTACTACAGCAAAACAAAAAGCAACCAAGCACACAAACTTATGAACACAGCCAACATCAAAATCAAAGGATCTAACAGCCACTGGTCATTAATCTCTCTCAACATCAATGGACTCAACTCTCCAGTAAAAAGACACAGATTAACAGAATGGATACGTAAACAAAACCCAGCAATCTGTTGCATACAAGAAACACACCTAAGACACAAAGATAGACATTACCTGAGGGTAAAAGGTTGGAAGATGACTTTCCAAGCAAATGGACCCAAGAAACAAGCAGGAGTAGCCATTCTAATATCTGATAAAATAGACTTCCAACCAAAAATAATAAAAAGAGATGAGGAAGGACACTTCATACTCATCAAGGGAAAATTCCACCAGGAAGACATCACAATCCTGAACATCTATGCCCCAAATACAAGAGCACCCACATTTGTAAAAGAAACATTGATAAAATTTAAACCACATATAGATCCCCACACATTAATAGTGGGAGACTTCAACACCCCACTCTCAACAAAGGACAGGTCAACAAAACAGAAATTAAACAAAGAAACAATATCTCTGACAGAGGTCATGAATCAAATGGACCTCACAGACATCTACAGAACTTTACACCCAAACACAAAAGAATTTACCTTCTTCTCAGCACCTCATGGAACCTTCTCCAAAATAGACCATATAGTTGGTCACAAAGCAAGCCTCAACAGATACAAGAAGACTGAAATAATCCCTTGTATCCTGTCTGATCACCATGGAATAAAGCTGGACTTCAACAACAACAGAAATAGCAAAAAGCCTACACAC